TGGACATGGAGAGAGACCTTAGGTCTCACCTTGGGTGCAGCTAGGCCAGGGATGGCTGGGGGGTTCGACTCTAGGTGAGCGGGACCCACAGGGCCAGGGCCACCAGAGAGGGCCTTTTGGCACCACATACTCGAAATGCTTTCCCAAACTCTGAGCATTCCCTGCTGCCTCGTTTTTGCATGGCCTCGGCTCGCCAAGGCATTTGAAATGTTTGCTTTTTGACAGAGGCATGTAGGGAAGGGGGTGGGATGTTTCGGCGAGTTTGCAGTGAGGACAGCCACTGGGTCCGAATGGACGCCCCTGTCTTGATTTGTGCCAGCCTGTTCCGGGCTTTGGTGACATCCCTGCTTCACGGCGAACACAGAAGGACATAGCCCGTGTAGAGTGTGATTCTCAAATGTGTGGCTCTGGTGCTGAGGTGGTTGTGCTAGTGGTAGACTGGTGGGTGTGTGTGCGACTGTGTGCATGTGCATGCGTGTGTGCGTGTGCGTGTGCATGCGTGTGCATGCATGTGCATGCATGTGCATGTGTGCGTGTGCATGCGTTTGTGTGTGAAAAGCTGGCGTGAAGCAACGGGGGTGGGCTGGCAGATGGACTAGCTCCCTGGCCACACAGGTCCCTTTAAGGAGACGGGGTTGGGGAGCTTGGGGAGGGCTGCCCCAGCCTGGGGGACAGCTTTGTGCTCAGTCTGTCTGCCCACCCAGGCTGGAGGTCACAGAGGCCAGAGAGGCCCCTCTGACCCCTGGCTTAGTGGCCCTGGGCCCTGGGTCTTACCTTTCCCAATGGCCCCATGGGGGCTCTTTCTCTGCCTGCCTGTTGTTTTTACAGGCCGCCCCTTCAACGGAGCTTCTAAGCCGAATCCACATGCACCAACTCAGGGCCTCCTCACAGGCCAAAGGAGGGTTTGCATGACCTCGGCCATGCTCCCTCAAGCTCCCTGGGCCCATTTCTCAACTGAGAAGTGATGGGATCATCAAATGTATGTATGAACCCAACACATGTCAGGGAAGTCCTTTGCTAGTGCCCTGGCCACAGGGAGGACTCCCTGTGAGCTGTCGGGATTCACCCCAACACCAGGAGAACCCTGATTCTTTGGTCTCAGGTGACTGTGTGTGTCAGGCGGCTTGCTGATATGCCCTAATCACCCCTGTTTTAGACCTTTTAAATTACTGCTGGAACAAGATGAGCTCTCAAGAAATCTGTAATTTGGAGAATTCTGCCCTGCTCTCTGGGCTTCAGCCGACTGGCTGAGCGTTACATTCATGGCTCACTTCCCCCAAGAGAAGCAGCAGAAGACCCTGCTCCAGACACACCTCCCGGAGCCTCTGCGGACACCTGAGGATGTCAGACCTCAGAGAATCCACCTTTGCAGGAAACTGTGTGTGTTCCAACACCCTGTTCGGCTACTTACAGCCTCCAGTGTCTGGGGTGTTCACTGCCCATTCCAAATCTTATTTGTAAAATGGGCGAATCCATCACCACTGTCTTTCATAGATGTTGTGAGGGTTCTTGAGAGAGAGCTTCCACGGGGCGCCTGGCATCCACACACAGTAGTCCTATCATAATGGGATGGTTCTCTTGTTTTTGCAACACTTCCTCGTGTTAACTTCCTGGCCTCGGTGTCCTGGTCCACAGAACGGGAATGATGAAGACTCCTGTTTCTTAGAGCTGAGAGGAGAAGTGACTTAATCCAAGGGACATCTTAGGAGGGTACCAGCACATAGTAGCGTTCAAGACATCTTAGTTATTGCTATTGTCCTGGTCATCACCATCTCCAATGTGTTTACGGTGTCAGTAAGGTGAACCGGCTGAGTAGGTCCTGTATCTTCCCACCCTCTCCTCACACCCACTGCAAGCATGGGAGATCATTCCTTCGTGTATATATACCTTGTCAACTGTCTTCGCTCGGAGAAAAGTGATGCCAATATTTGGGAGGTGACACAGATCATCCTTAACTTGAGTATTTGCTTTTCAGTTGACTTGAGGAGCAGAGGAAGGGTAGATGCCTCCGGGCGGGTGGGGTAGGAAGACCTCCTGTCTCTCCCCTGCCCTCAGCCTTTTTCTCTGAGGCTTCTTGGTCCTGCCTGGTGCCCACCCTCTGCCCAGCCCGCCCAAGGAGCAGGCTTTCTCCCTGGGGGCTGGGAACTGTACTCTCTGCCCTCATCCCACGCTGACCCCAGAGTAGGAACCCCTCGCGGTCCTTGCAGGAGCATCCGGGCAGGCTGGAAATCTCAGGGCTTTGCTGTGGGCTGGGAGATGTGCGGGCACTGACTGCAGAGAAGAATGCATGTTTGGGGCGATCTGAAGACTACGAGCCTAGGGAGAACTTTCAGTGTCCCCATCTGGCTCTCTGGGATACCCAGTTGTCCTGGTTGTCTCCCAGGCTCTTCGGCGCCCCCTCACCCCCAGCAGGCCTCAGATAGGGCCTCAACACACCGAGCTTCCGCACGAGGGCGCATCCGCACTCGGACGCCAGAGGCTTGTGCCATCCACTCCCCGGAAATATGTCCCTGCGCGGGACTCCTTCCTACAGCGGGCTCCTCCTAGGCTCAAGTTACAAACTCCTAGCCTGGGAGCCCAGGATTCGACCCCACGCGGGAGCCGGGTTGGGGCGCCACGCAGTTCTACTACTGGAAGGAGCCTCCCAGAGATGCTGCAAATCTGCAAACGCGAGGGGCTGGACTTGCCTCTCCAGACCGCGACTAGAAGCTGTTTTTTTTTTTTTTCTTTCTTTCTTTCTTTACTATCAGTGCCCCGCCCACCAGCCTCCCGGTCTCCGCCTGCGTCCGGCCCATGCCCAAATTGGGCGGTGTTTATTATTGTATGAATTCAAGCTCGGATTTGCCTTGGAGTTTAGAAGTAGCGCAGCGGAGGCGCGCCTTTCGGGAGAGGCAGGGATGCGCCTGCTGGACTTCGGGTGCCGGGCAAGCTCCAGGGAGGGCTCCGGGTGTGGAGGGGTTGGTGCGTAGTGACACCCATTTATCTCCTCCTCTGGGTCTGTTAGAGCGGGAGCTGAGGTTGGACATCGAACTCGATCCAAGTTTGAACTTGCGGGGGGCGCGCTGGTCTGGAGAGGTTGGGTGACCCCGGGGACTATGGAACTGCGGGTTGCGTCCGCTCGGGCATTGAGGTGTCCCCCCCTTCCCCACCCCAGGGTTGAAAGGGGTGCTCTGGTGAGATCTAGAGATCCAGAGAGAGGACAGCGCCCCGCCCCCTCCTGGCTAGAGGGCCATCCTCAACACCTAGGCCAGAGCCAGGCTGGGCTGGTCGGTTGGCCTAAGTTAGAAAAGCAGCGCCTGGGAGGGAGGCCCAGAGGTGCCCCAGCGCCTGGCCTGGCGCTCCCTCAAGCTACACCTGCACCCAAACTGGTTTTTCCACCCTGATTTTGACTTCCTATGGCCTGTGTCAAACTTACCCACTTCCCTGCTATCTGGAACCCCTGAACATAGCGGTTACTCTATGGATTCCCCATTTTGGAGTGGGATTGTCCCGGCTTTCCCTTGTCCAGGGGTGACTTGGCCTTTAGCAAGCAGATGTCCTCTCGCTGCTGACATGCCCCGCCCCATGCACCATAGTGCCTCTGTTCCCTTCCCTGCGGAGCAGGGCCCTGGGCCCTTCCTATGCCCACCTGCCGCCCTCACCTCTCCCTCTCTTCTTTGGCATCCCCACATGGTTTACTCAATGAAACGCTAATTCAATTAACCCAAGTGTTTTTTTTTTTTTCTTTTAAAAAATATTCAGCAGAGATCATAAACAGGAACTAGTGGTGCATTAGCCCCCCCGCCCCCACACCCACCGCCTCGGTGGGACAGAAGCCTGCTCCTTCTCAATCGGCATCATTCAGGGTTTTTGATTCAAAGCATGACGTAGCTGAATGTAAAATGAGACAGTGTGGGGGTGCTTACACCCCAGGGTGAGTGGGTGGGGGGGTGGGTGGAGAGCAAGCAGGCTTCCCAAATGCTTAATGTAATCACGGGCCAGCTGCGTGCACTTGTAAAGTTGTTATAACCCCCCTCCTTGTTATAAACAGGAAAGCGCAGAATATAAAGCAAGAGACCCGCATTCACAAATACCAGCTCTCCCGCGACAGCTGCCAAATTCCCCTTTTATGGTGTTCCTTGCTTGCAACCTCAGTCCCATCAGAAAGACCTTAGCTTCTCCCCCCTGACCTCTCCAAATGGGTTTATTTTGGAACTACCCTCAACCAAGCCGTGGCCCAGGTACCCCCGCCCTCTCTAGCTCCCCAGTACCCTGTGCCTTGGCTTCCGGAGAAGCTGGGCTCCTGGAGGCCTCTTCTGGGCCCCCAGGGAGCCCCTGGAGGTAGAGGCTGGCCCACTCCGGGAAACCAGGCCCCGCGGGTGAGTGCCTCCAGTTCCTGCAGGGCATCCCGATAGTTTCTCCAAGGAGGGCGGCCACCTCTTCTCCCAAGACTCCCAGACCTCTTAAATAGACACGCCGCTCCCCCCCCCCCAAATATCTAAATGCTTTCAAAGACCTCAGGAGGCATTATATGAGACGGTTCCATCTCCACATCTATGAAGGCTGAGAGAAGAAAAGACCTTTTGTGGGAGGCTCAGGATAACTGGACTCCCCCAGGCCAGCAGTGAAACTCCCCCCTGCGCCCCCACCCCATCCCCACCTCTCCTTCCTGGCCGGGCAGACCCCGCTCCCAGCCACCGTGGTCCACATCCTGCCTCACTGACTGTGTGCTTACAGCGTCAAGGGGTGGACGTGATATTTCAAACATCAGATCAGTGCGTTTATATATTGGGTGCCCGGAAATTTTTCCAAATAAACACAGCTTGATTCAACTTGGGTGGGCGGACTTATCAACAGACTAATTCTATAAACAAATGAAGGAATAGCCCTGAAACCGATTGGCTGGTATCAAAAAGACACGTGGAGGGAAAAGCTTGGAGTTTTTCAGCAATGAAATTTTAATTAATGTGGGTGGGCTGAGCACACAACGACTGTTTATCATAGACAATTTATTTTCCAGCGCTAAGTCAACATATAATAGCAAACTTACAACAATTATTTAACATTTTTAAAGCCATGAAGGGACAGAGCACGGAGCGGCCAGGGAGAGCGGCAGAGCGGGAGGCAGACGCACCGCGGGCTCCCCCGGAGGGCCCTCGCGGCGCGGGGCGCAGTCCCTAAGCCGCTGGGTCGCCTGCGTCGCGGGGAGCGCCGCGCTGGGCTCCGGCTCGCCATGAGCCACTTCTTCGGCCCCCGGCTGCCTGCTCTGGCCGCCTCACCCATGCTCTATCTGTACGGCCCCGAGAGACCTGGGCTACCGCTGGCCTTCGCCCCCGCGGCCGCTCTGGCCGCCTCGGGCCGGGCGGAGCCCCCCCAGAAGCCGCCCTACAGCTACATCGCGCTCATAGCCATGGCCATCCAGGACGCGCCCGAGCAGAGAGTCACGCTGAACGGCATCTACCAGTTCATCATGGACCGCTTCCCTTTCTACCACGACAACCGGCAGGGCTGGCAGAACAGCATCCGCCACAACCTCTCGCTCAACGACTGCTTCGTCAAGGTGCCCCGCGAGAAAGGGCGGCCAGGCAAGGGCAGCTACTGGACGCTGGACCCTCGCTGCCTGGATATGTTCGAGAATGGCAACTACCGGCGCCGGAAGAGGAAGCCCAAGCCAGGCCCAGGGGCCCCGGAGGCCAAGCGGGCCCGCGCCGAGACGCAGGAGCGCGGCTCCGAGGCGCAGCCCCCCGCAGGGCGCCGCGGCGGCCCCGCGACCCCCCGCCAGGAGGGAGCGCCCGCGCGCCCCTCGCCCCTGCGGGACGGCTCCTCTCCGCCCGCGCCCCTCCACTGGCCTGGGCCCGCGTCCCCGGAGGAGGACGCAGGCGACGCTGTCCAGGGCGCAGCGGCCTTGGCCGTAGGCCAGCCAGCGCGCACAGTGGATGGCCCGGGGTCCCCTCCACGTCCTGCTTCCCACGGCTCTCCGAAGAGCTCCGACAAATCCAAGGGCTTCAGCATAGACAGTATCCTGGCGGGACGGCAGGGTCAGAAGCCCGCCGGAGGGGTCGAGCTCCTGGGGGGCGCCAAGCCAGGGCCCGGCAGCTGTATGGGTGCCTCACTTCTGGCCACCCCCTCAAGCCTCCGTCCGCCTTTCAACGCTTCCCTGATGCTCGACCCGCACGTCCAGGGCCGCTTTTACCAGCTCGGGATCCCTTTCCTCTCCTATTTCCCTCTGCAGCTTCCCGACGCGGTGCTTCACTTCCAGTAAAGCAAACAGTGACGGGGTCCTTCCCCTACCCTGGGCTGACCTTGTGAGCGACCAGGGGTCTAATCGCTGGGGGAAGGAGCCACGTTTTTGTTTTTGTTTTTGTTTTTTAATGATCTTTTCTTCTGCAACGTGTGGATCCTGGGAAGTGTTACCAACTTTTGCACGCAGGTGGGCAGGGTCTCCTGCCTCCTCCGAGGTGAGGTGGACTTTCCCAGAACCCGGAGCACCTCCGGAGATTTAAAAGACCTTGCCTGGCTAGGACTTGGGCATCTCAGACCTCCTACCGCCAGAGCAGGAGAATTCCTTGACCTTAGGTCAGTCTAAGGTTGTGGTCTTCCATGCCCAGCACAGGTCCTTCATGTCCAGAGCAGCAAGGGCCCAGACAACCAGGGAGCAGGACCGCGAAGGACATGGTGGGGTGCTTTCAAACAGAGCCACAGTCTGACTGTGGCCATCTCAGTTGTGGGTTGTCACTGTGGCTCAGGCCTTGGCTCTGAGTCCATGGGGTGGTGGGTGTTCACAGCTGGGTTTGTCCTTGAAGTCCAGTTGTGGGGACACTGGCAGTGACCCCTGTGTTTCAGGTTCTTTGGGAGATCTAGGGCCTGGTGAGGACTTACAACAAATGTCCAGGTGGAAGCTAAGAAGCCACACTTTTATTTTAAATAGAGAATTTCTCTCTTTTTTCTTTCTAGACAGTAAAAGGAATATGCTATGCTCTTTGGCTAGATGCTTGACTCTTTTTACTACAACGATTGCCCTGTGAAAATGTCTACAGTAACAACCTCTATTAAGAAAGTACACTCTTATATAATAGCATTTTGTTGCATTATGATAGCCCGATAGTCAGTACCCATGATCTCCAAGACGTGTTACCAACATTAGCAGGCGTCCTGTCTTGTTGCTTTTGTTTTTAAGGGATCAAAAGATAGCAGAGGACACCGGAAGTGTGTGAGGGGGAGGGAAGGTTAAGTCTTAGACTCAGAAGATTTTCCATTTGCATGTTTTTTCAAGATCTAGGTTTGATTTTTGCTACATTTTCCAGAATTGTGTAGTAAAGGACCACCTTTAATCCAAAAAGTTGGATGAAACAAACACAAAAGGCAGATCCTGGGAGAGATGGGTCATGCTGGGCAGAGAAAGAGAATCTTCTGATATCTGCTGGAGGGTGTCTCTCTGGACCCCAAAGAACAGGAAGCTCAGCCAGAGGATTCTTTCAGACATTCCCAGCTGATGGCATCCCAGCCCGCACCCAGCTCTTCCCTCCAAGCCCCTTCCCTGGGTGGGCGGGCCTAGAGCCAGCAGCTAAATAAACACCTTATGGAGGTGACTGGAGATCTGGGGGGTGGGGAGCAGGAAGATTGGGAGGGGCACAGGAGGAGGGCTCTGCAACAAAGATCTGGTTAAGACGATGGAGATTTTTACAGCCCAGTTCAGCTTGGAACTTTTGGGAAGTGCATCTAACCCCTTACAGTATCTCTCTTTGGGTTGCCTTGGGTGGGAAACTGAATTTCCTGAACCTCTAGGTTATTTTAATTTTATCTGATGTGGGAAAGACTCAGGAAGTCATGAGAGTTCTGGAGGTAGGCTGCAATAGATCTTCCAAATAACTTTTAATTTCCAGGACTTAGATAAAGATGAACACAAACTTTACAGCAAGAGAGCCTATCGGTTAATATGTCCAAAAGGACATTCCAGACAAGTATAATAATTTAATAATTAGTAAGCACAGAACTGACTTCCTAAGAATTTATTCTTAAAGCCATGTGCTGCTGACCCATAAGTTTCCTTGAGCATATTCTGCCCAGGTTGGTGGGAATGTTTTGGTGAGCTGCACAGTGTCCTTGATTTTAAGAACTTTGATGAGATCCCATTGTTGAGATCCAGGCTCACTGTGATTAACCTACAATGTGGTGGAAGGGCTGTCATGGATATTTTGTTATCCCAAAGTCTCAGCCTCTGTGAATAAAGTTGTTTTTTCATTAACCTCTCAGTGACTGGTTCAGTGGATTACTGGGGGGAATAAGCAAACAGTGTAATAGGAGAGAGGAGTCAGGGATTATATGGGGAAGCCCTGTCAGCATCTCAGGAGCAGAGAAGCCTGGGGCCAGTGGGTGCTGCCGGAACATCATGGAAACTCCATGGTGTAGGTTATGTTTTTAATTTTTCCTTTTGTGTTTGATTTGCTATCTCATGTGTTTTGTTAATTTACGATGGCTGTCTTTTGGAGAAACTAATAATCTAATACTGCCATTTTAAAAAGATGCATTTTAGAGTTACAATTCCAAGAAGTATAATATAAACATTGTTTTGTGTCTCAGAAAAAAAAAGTCAGGAGTATGTATCTGCTTTGTAAGACTGTTTATACATACACAAGGAGGCATTCTGTTAACTAACCCCCGCATTCATCTGGTTTGGGAGGGCTGAGGGGAACGGACCGGTAGTGATGGAATCTATCGAATTGGTACGGTCCCGTGAAGATTCCTTCCTACTGAAGAAAAAGAGGACCTGTCTGTCTTAGCAATCCACACGGCTGTGCCAGTGCTCCGGATTTAATCACGGGCTCCAAGCTGTAGGTCAGTAAGACCAAAAAAAAAAAAAAAAGTTTCTACTCTTACTTAAAGCAAACTCTCCTCTGTATTTAGGGCAAACCAGAAGCAACCTTATCTTTCTACTCTTAGGCAATCTGAAGGTACACCTCTGTGTTCCCTTCTAAACAAAGGGAACAGATTCTGTTTTTCTGACAAGGGTCTGTGGTTCAAGCTTAGTGTACACACACACGTACACACACTGATGAATACACCAATCATAATGGGGATGGAGCGGGAGTACCGTGTACAACACTAAGGACAGAAGTGGGTACATATGTACGCATGGGTATGGATATGCACACATGCATTTGTGTATGTGTGTGTGTGTGTATGTTCTGTACACATGAGTGTGCAGAAGTTCATCTTTTTTTGCATATAAGTGGGACAGATGGGCTCAGATCAAGGGCTGAATCCTTTCAAATTAATCCAAGTATTGATACTTTCAGAAAGATTTTCTTTTCCGATATAGTTCAAGCCAGGGTTGAAAATTTGGGTTTTGCACTATTCTGATGAAACTAACAAAGATTTCATTAAAGAATCTTGGAAGACACACCGACATTGAGACCTTTACTTCTTCGACTTGTGCAAGGATAAGAGAACTTTGTAAAGGCCTTTTGCTTTGGTTTTGGATGTTCATTGGCTCTTGTAGCAGCTAATGACCCTGCTGGGTCTCAAATGCCTCCGAAGGTTTTCCGGAACCTGAACAGGATGTGATTCGCCATTTCAGATCTCTAATCGCATCTCTCTGTGAGGGAGTCCACATGTGGTCTCTACCATTTCATGAAGAGTGGTTCAGCGTGTATCCACGTGTGGGTTAAAGAACTAGCCACACATGATGTTACTGTTGCAGCTGAAAGCAACTGTTAACATCAGAGACGTGGGTGATGTTTCCAGTAGCGGGCAGCTCTCGATGAGAGCCTCAGCTTTGTGCACTTCCCATCTTCATGGTAGCTGGAAACATCTTGTTTGCAGGAAGCAGAGTTTGTTCCATAGAGTAAAAAATGCACATGATAATAAGCAAAGTTCATTGTTTAAAAATAAAGAGCATGAGTTTGTTGGAAAGATAAAATTCTTTGGATCCACATTTCAAGCAGTTTTTAAATATATGTCTGAATAGCTAAATGGCAAGTTCTCTACTACACTTGTCCTCATGGGTTCTCTAGGGCCGGGCAGACACCATACCTGTGTGCAGCATCCTAGTGGTGAGCACTAGGAGGTGGTGGAGCCTGGGCAGAGCTGAGGGCTTTGCCTCATCCAATGACATCCAAATGCCAATTTTACTGGGCAGACCATGTGAAGGGCCCACAGGCCCAATGTGTATTGAAGCCCAGGGTCTACAGCATGGTGGGCAGATGAGAGTGAGTACAAGATTCAGTTCTGACCCTGGAAGGTGGCTGTAAGGAAAGGGGGTAACCAGAGCACACGTCCTAGGTCCTGAGGGGTGTCTACATAGTCAACACCGTTGTCTTTATTTACCTTGGCGGTGAGGGGGGAGAGTGGAAGGGAGGTGGTGGGGCAAAGATTTGGTCTTAACCTTTTCCCATTAGGCATGAGAATCAGGGTTCCAGAAAGAGAAGCCCACTTACATGGGCCAGTGGAAAAGACGAGGGTAGAGGGATTGCTTATGTGGGGCAGGGCCAGGGGACGGGCAGCTCCATGGGGAGCAAGAGTGAGTGTGGTTGCAGCTTCTGCAGGCAGGAGCCGAGGAGAAATACCCCAACCTCTCTCCTCTCCTGCCTTCCAGCCTCATGTGGATACCTCTGATTGGCTGACCCCACTAGAAGTCCAGCCTGCAAGGGAGCCCAGGTAATGCAATACATAAGGGGCAACCTGCAAGGCCAAGAGGGGCTGAGAATGCACGGGGGTGGGGACGGGGCAGACAGACTGTGCCCAGCACAGTCGGGGTGGGGGGGCCTTCCTTCAGGGTCAGTCGGTGGCACCTGTCCTGACCACACTGTTGGTCCAAGAGCCAGGACTAGGATGTCCTGGACAATACTGGCAGCTACCGCTGGCCTTCCAGGAGATCTGACTCTCCTACTTGCCAAGCTTCCAAGAGAGGTGACTCTAGAGCCATCTGAGACCCGCTTAGGGAGGCACGGCCTGGGTCTGGACTTTGCTCTCGGGGGCCCTGTCCCCGGCCATGCAGTCTCTGCCTTCACAGCTTTGAGCCTGAGTTGCTGGGGGCTGTGAATGACGCTACACGGGTATCTTTCAGTTCACTGAGAATCTAAAACAAAATCACCGTTCACTAAAAGTGTCCTGAATACGGCTGGTGCAATCTCCTCCTTGTAGGCTGTGTGGGCCTCAAGCTGGGAGGGCACTTCTGACCCAAGGGCAGAGGAAGTGGGACACACATGAAGGGTTTGGGCTCCAGGACAGCATCTAGGTCAAGCCCTCTGGGAAGGGTGGAAGGATGTTCCGGTGTCCACAGGACCACGTCACCTTGGACAACACTAAGTTGAAGCATGACTCCGGTCCTCACAATG